GCTAACATTCTGACCAGCCACCAGCAGTGCACAGACAGACAGACATTAAATAAATCTTATATTGTTAAAAGCCTAAAAATTATACAACTGTTTTAATTTACACTCATTAAATTTGTTAAAATAATTTAATAACCAGTCAATTTTTAGATTAAAATTTTAATCGAGAAAACATGATTTTTGACGTCAAATAATCTTAACCCCCCCCCCCTTGTCAACAGTTGTCAAACATTTCCACCCCCCCCCCCTATTTTGTTGATGATAATAAATGGAAGACCCCTGGGCGGATCGCGGTGTAGCGAAATATTGTTGAATTATTAGTATTATTATTTTCTTAATAGCTTACGCCTCTGACCCATTATCTTTCGACCCAAAAAAGTTTTGCATAAGTATTACGGCCGACCTTACATTTTGAGATAAGCAAGCCTGACTTACAGCAATATAGAGTACTTGTTAAAGCTCGCCAAACATTGGGTTAGGGTCATGCATGAACTCCCCATCTACTTAAGTTACTTGACGAAACATGAAATCAAGAAACGCTCATTTTATGAATCGCAATTTTTGCTACACATCACCCCAACCCCCCCCCCCCCTTTTATTTCACCACCATGAATTATATTAATGTTTTGATGTCCCATCCATTTTTAAACCTAAAATTTATTACACCATATTTGAATTCAGCCGATTTCATTTTGCGAAAAGAAAATACTACGCACCAAACGCTGTTGCGTTATTAAAAAAAAAATCATTTAGCGTAGTTATTGGGAATTATATTTTGTGAGATATCCGGAAATGGAAGGAGTCACACAACAAGCAAAATTTATATAAGAGATTATGACTATAAATAAATGTTAAAACGTTATATTTTAAACAGTGCATAGTGGTAATCACGTGTCTTGACTATGTTCTGATTTGTCATAATCGCGAGCAGAGGCCTATCGTAATGAATGTGGCAAGACACGGAAATAGCCATTTGTGCCATGGGTAATGGGTGCAAAATCGGCCAGACGGCAAAAGAGTTTCTAGACTTACTTAGAAAATTACTTCATTTTACTAATAATTAGTTTACCTGTAATGGATAAGCCAATCTTCTTCCCACTTATCTGCTAGCAACTAATCTGTTATTCTAATCCTTGCTGTGGGTGAGTTTATCCCCCATACACCTCTGTTTGTGAGGCGTAATTGGTGTCATCAAATGGATATTGCTTCCATCCATACAAGTGGGATTACGGCCCACGGAGGGCTTTGGCCCACCTCACCACTTCCTTACATTCGTGTCATCAAATGGATATTGCTTCCATCCATACAAGTGGGATTACGGCCCACGGAGGGCTTTGGCCCACCTCACCACTTCCTTACATTTGTGTCATCAGATGGATATTGCTTCCATCCATACAAGTGGCACTACAGCCCATGTAGGTCTTTGGCCCACCTCACCACTTCCTTGGATTCATGTCATCTCGTGGATAATGATTAGGACAAAGTCTTTAATTACTGTTTCAAACTGTTCACTTGAAAAGAATCAATATTGAACATTTTCCACGACATTCATCCATAACTGCCCAAAACGACACCAATCACCAGTACATATTTAAGCTAAATATTATTGACTTTGAAACGCATTTAAACACTAAGAAAGTCCTGTCTAAAATCACAATATAAAAAAAATAAGAAGGTCATGTCTAAAACCACAATTTAAACAATACGAGTGTCCTGTCTAAAGCCACAATTTAAACAATACGAGTGTCCTGTCTAAAGCCACAATTTAAACAATACGAGTGTCCTGTCTAAAGCCACAATTTAAACAATACGAGTGTCCTGTCTAAAGCCACAATTTAAACAATACGAGTGTCCTGTCTAAAGCCACAATTTAAACAATACGAGCGTCCTGTCTAAAGCCACAATTTAAACAATACGAGTGTCCTGTCTAAAATCACAATTTAAACAATACGAGTGTCCTGTCTAAAATCACAATTTAAACAATACGAGTGTCCTGTCTAAAGCCCGAAGGCAAACGGTTAGAACAGCGGTTCTCAACCTGTGGGTCGTGACCCCTTTGTGGGTCGCGGGACCCTTTTCCAGGGGTCGCCTAAGACCATCTGAAAACATATATCCTTACAGCTATGAAGTAGCAACGAAAATAATTGTGTGGCTGGGGGGTCGCCATGACACGAGAAACTGTATTAAGGGGTCGCGGCACTAGAAAGGTTGAGAACCACTG